ATCTTGTCGAACGCTATAAAACGTTGTTATAACATAATTGCCCGACAAACATCTAGTCGAACGCTCTAAAACGATGTTATAACACCATTGCCAGACAAACATATTGTCGAACGCTTTAAAACGTTGGTATAACATGATCGCCCGACAAACATATTGTCGAACGCTTTAAAACGTTAATATAACATGATCGCAAGACAAACATATTGTCGAACGCTATAAAACGTTGTTATAACATCATTGCCAGACAAACATCTTGTCGAACGCTATAAAACGTTGTTATAACATCATTGCCAGAAAAACATCTTGTCGAACGCTGTAAAACGTTGTCATGACATCATCGCCCGACAAACATCTTGTCGAACGCTTTAAACGTTGGTATAACATGATCGCAAAACAAACATCTTGTCGAATGCTATAAAACGTTGTTATAACATGATCGCCCGACAAACATCTTGTCGAACGCTTTACAACGTTGTTAGGACATCATCGCCCGACAAACATCTTGTCGAACGCTATAACACGTTGTTATGACATCATTGCAAGACAAACATCTTGTCGAACGCTATAAAACGTTGTTATAACATCATTGCCAGACAAACATCTTGTCGAACGCTATAAAACGTTGTTATGGCATCATCGCCCGACAAACATCTTGTCGAACGCTCCAAAACGATGTTATAACACCATTGCCAGACAAACATATTGTCGAATGCTTTAAAACGTTGGTATAACATCATTGCCAGACAAAAATCTTGTCGAACGCTATAAAACGTTGTTATGACATCATCGCCAGACAAACATCTTGTCGAACGCTCTAAAACGATGTTATAACACAATTGCCAGACAAACATATTGTCGAACGCTTTAAAACGTTGGTATAACATGATCGCCCGACAAACATATTGTCGAACGCTTTAAAACGTTGGTATAACATGATCGCAACACAAACATATTGTCGAACGCTATAAAACGTTGTTATAACATCATTGCCAGACAAACATCTTGTCGAAAGCTATAAAACGTTGTTATGACATCATCGCCCGACAAACATCTTGTTGAACGCTATAAAACGTTGTTATAACATCATTGCCAGACCAACATCTTGTCGAACGCTATAAAACGTTGTTATGACATCATCGCCCGACAAACATCTTGTCGAACGCTCTAAAACGATGTTATAACACCATTGCCAGACAAACATATTGTCGAACGCTTTAAAACGTTGGTATAACATGATCGCCCGACAAACATATTGTCGAACGCTTTAAAACGTTGGTATAACATGATCGCAACACAAACATATTGTCGAACGCTATAAAACGTTGTTATAACATCATTGCCAGACAAACATCTTGTCGAAAGCTATAAAACGTTGTTATGACATCATCGCCCGACAAACATCTTGTTGAACGCTATAAAACGTTGTTATAACATCATTGCCAGATCAACATCTTGTCGAACGCTGTAAAACGTTGTTATGACATCATCGCCCGACAAACATCTTGTCGAACGCTTTAAAACGTTGGTATAACATGATCGCAAAACAAACATATTGTCGAACGCTATAAAACGTTGTTATAACATGATCGCCCGACAAACATCTTGTCGAACGCTTTAAAACATTGTTAGGACATCATCGCCCGACAAACATCTTGTCGAACGCTATAACACGTTGTTATGACATCATTGCCAGACAAATATCTTGTCGAACGCTATAAAACGTTGTTATAACATGATTGCCAGACAAACATCTTGTCGAACGCTGTAAAACGATGTTATAACACCATCGCCCGACAAACATCTTGTCGAACGCTCTAAAACGATGTTATAACACCATTGCCCGACAAACATCTTGTCGAATGCTTTCAAACGTTGGTATAACATGATCGCAAGACAAACATATTGTCGAACGCTATAAAACGTTGTTATAACATCATTGCCAGACAAACATCTTGTCGAAAGCTATAAAACGTTGTTATGACATCATCGCCCGACAAACATCTTGTCGAACGCTATAAAACGTTGTTATAACATCATTGCCAGACAAACATCTTGTCGAACGCTGTAAAACGTTGTTATGACATCATCGCCCGACAAACATCTTGTCGAACGCTTTAAAACGTTGTAAGGACATCATCGCCCGACAAACATCTTGTCGAACGCTATAACACGTTGTTATGACATCATTGCCAGACAAACATCTTGTCGAACGCTTTAAAACGTTGGTATAACATGATCGCCAGACAAACATCTTGTCGAACGCTATAAAACGTTGTTATAACATCATTGCCAGACAAACATCTTGTCGAACGCTATAAAACGTTGTTATGACATCATCGCCAGACAAACATCTTGTCGAACGCTGTAAAACGATGTTATAACACCATTGCCAGACAAACATATTGTTGAACGCTTCAAAACGTTGGTATAACATGATCGCCCGACAAACATCTTGTCGAACGCTTTAAAACGTTGGTATAACATGATCGCAAGACAAACATATTGTCGAACGCTATAAAACGTTGTTATAACATCATTGCCAGACAAACATCTTGTCGAAAGCTGTAAAACGTTGGTATGACATCATCGCCCGACAAACATCTTGTCGAACGCTATAAAACGTTGTTATAACATCATTGCCAGACAAACATCTTGTCGAACGCTTTAAAACGTTGTTATGACATCATCGCCCGACAAACATCTTGTCAAACGCTTTAAAACGTTGGTATAACATGATCGCAAAACAAACATCTTGTCGAACGCTATAAAACGTTGTTATAACATGATCGCCCGACAAACATCTTGTCGAACGCTTTAAAACGTTGTTAGGACATCATCGCCCGACAAACATATTGTCGAACGCTATAACACGTTGTTATAACATCATTGCCAGACAAACATCTTGTCGAACGCTATAAAACGTTGTTATAACATCATTGCCAGACAAACATCTTGTCGAACGCTATAAAAAATTGTTATGGCATCATCGCCCGACAAACATCTTGTCGAACGCTCTAAAACGATGTTATAACACCATTGCCAGACAAACATATTGTCGAATGCTTTAAAACGTTGGTATAACATGATCGCAAGACAAACATCTTGTCGAACGCTATAAAACGTTGTTATAACATCATTGCCCGACAAACATCTTGTCGAAAGCTATAAAACGTTGTTATGACATCATCGCCCGACAAACATCTTGTCGAACGCTATAAAACGTTGTTATAACATCATTGCCAGACAAACATCTTGTCGAACGCTTTAAAACGTTGGTATAACATGGTCGCAAAACAAACATATTGTCGAACGCTATAAAACGTTGTTATAACATGATCGCCCGACAAACATCTTGTCGAACGCTTTAAAACGTTGTTAGGACATCATTGCCCGACAAACATCTTGTCGAACGCTATAACACGTTGTTATGACATCATTGCCAGACAAACATCTTGTCGAACGCTATAAAAGGTTGTTATAACATCATTGCCAGACAAACATCTTGTCGAAAGCTATAAAACGTTGTTATGGCATCATCGCCCGACAAACATCTTGTCTAACGCTCTAAAACGATGTTATAACACCATTGCCCGACAAACATATTGTCGAACGCTTTAAAACGTTGTTATAACATGATCGCCTGAGAAACATCTTGTCGAACGCTATAAAACGTTGTTATAACATCATTGCCAGACAAACATCTTGTCGAACGCTGTAAAACGTTGTTATGACATCATCGCCCGACAAACATCTTGTCGAACGCTTTAAAACGTTGGTATAACATGATCGCAAAACAAACATATTGTCGAACGCTATAAAACGTTGTTATAACATGATCGCAAAACAAACATACTGTCGAACGCTTTAAAACGTTGTTAGGACATCATCGCCCGACAAACATCTTGTCGAACGCTATAACACGTTGTTATGACATCATTGCCAGACAAACATCTTGTCGAACGCTCTAAAACGATGTTATAACACCATTGCCAGACAAACATATTGTCGAACGCTTTAAAACGTTGGTATAACATGATCGCCCGACAAACATATTGTCGAACGCTATAAAACGTTGTTATAACATCATTGCCAGACAAACATATTGTCGAACGCTTTAAAACGTTGTTAGGACATCATCGCCCGACAAACATCTTGTCGAACGCTATAACACGTTGTTATGACATGATCGCAAAACAAACATATTGTCGAACGCTATAAAACGTTGTTATAACATGATCGCAAAACAAACATACTGTCGAACGCTTTAAAACGTTGTTAGGACATCATCGCCCGACAAACATCTTGTCGAACGCTATAACACGTTGTTATGACATCATTGCCAGACAAACATCTTGTCGAACGCTCTAAAACGATGTTATAACACCATTGCCAGACAAACATATTGTCGAACGCTTTAAAACGTTGGTATAACATGATCGCCCGACAAACATATTGTCGAACGCTATAAAACGTTGTTATAACATCATTGCCAGACAAACATATTGTCGAACGCTTTAAAACGTTGTTAGGACATCATCGCCCGACAAACATCTTGTCGAACGCTATAACACGTTGTTATGACATCATTGCCAGACAAACATCTTGTCGAACGCTATAAAACGTTGTTATAACATGATCGCCCGACAAACATATTGTAGAACGCTATCAAACGTTGTTATAACATCATCGCCCGACAAACATATTGTCGAACGCTATAAAACGTTGCTATAACACCATCGCCCGACAAATATCTAACCGAACGCTATCAAACGTTATTATAACAACATCGCTTTAAAGGCATCGTGTCGAATGCTCATAAACTGTGTAATAACATTGGCTGAACAAACATCTATGAAACGTGTTATAACATCATCGCGTGACAAACATCTTGTGCAATAGCAGTTTTGATGCACAAAGGTTCCCACACCGTTTGTGAAATATGCATTATGTCGGCATCTCCAAACCATCACCATCAGGTTTTCCCCCTGTTGTGTACTTACCTAACGCATCCTGTGCCCTCTTCCGCAACTCTTTGATTTTGATTTCACCAATCTTGTATGCGCATGCCTGGCCTGGCAACCCGATATATCGGTCGACCTCTTTGGTTATATCCACCCTTGGTAGTGTTGTGTAGTTTAGCATGTACTGAATGGCGTCTTCGGGGCTCCACCTGATGCAACAGGATTCAATACTCGTGACAATCATCAAGTTGAGATGTATAGTGAGTGCTGCTGTAGATGAGGGGATGATATATGAGCACGGGATGTTGTTTCACTCAGCTTGGTATGGGGGAAAAACAAAAACAATATGTTGCCGTCAATACTTTGGTAATAAGGTGCTGACAGATTAAGGAGCGTAGTCATGGATTCGAACCAAGAGCAGGGTTTTCTGTACCAACAGGAGTCTGCGAAGCATCAATGCTTTAGATTTTTAAGCCATCACTGACTGTGATTTTGTCAAAAACTACAATGTACTCTCTAGATTGTTGAGGAGTATAAGACTATGTTACATTACTGATAGAAGGCAGTGCTTCGCCTAATGTTTGCGTTGATGTAGACGTTTAACGGCTGCGACAAACTATATAATACATGACGACATTTTTTATTAAATGCACACAAAACACTCTCCAGCCTACCCATAATAATGTAGTCCTGTATCCACGACCAGTCTGCAAGCCCGCACCATCTCTAGACTGTACCTCCCCATGCTGAAACAACAGAGCATGCACAGGACATCACTAGTATAAGCTATTGTCCATGGTGTGACAAATGAACCACAACACCAGTACGAGCCATTGCCCTTGGTGTGACAAATGAACCACAACACCAGTACGAGCCATTGCCCTTGGTGTGACAAATGAACCACAACACCAGTACTAGCCATTGCCCTTGGTGTGACAAATGAACCACAACACCAGTACGAGCCATTGCCCTTGGTGTGACAAATGAACCAAATGAAAAACACCAGTACTAGCCATTGCCCTGAACCACAACACCAGGAATGACAAATGAACCACAACACCAGTACGAGCCATTGCCGTTGGTGTGACAAATGAACCACAACACCAGTACGAGCCATTGGCCTTGGTGTGACAAATCAACCACAACACCAGTACTAGCCATCGCCGTTGGTGTGACAAATGACAAATGACAAATACCACAACACCAGTACTAGCCATTGCCCTTTGTATGAACCACAACAAAAATTGCCCTTTGTATACCCACAACATCAGTAAAGGCCATCACTCACTTACTAACTCTTTGTAAATAAGGGTAAACCAAAGGACACTAAGTACATTTCTTCCTTTTTTCCCCACCCCACCCCCACCCCCACCCCTGCCAGTTCTGGAAGTTCTGTTCCGGGTTCAATGCTGCCTCTTCCAGATCAGAAGGAATCTGCCGCTGATACTCAGAGACCACTTCCTTGATTAGATTGGTGGTACTCTGGGATTCAGCAAGGGACATGAGAATTCTGGACATTATCAACATTGACAATAGATCGAAGAATACTGGAAGCCCACCGGTCCAACCCTAATTAATTCCAGCGTACCTTCCTCGAGGTCCAATGTGAAACGTTATTAGGTTTATCTCCCGCTTATAATAGGGTAGATAACCACTAGAAGAAAAAACAACACAAAACTTGAGACTATATGTGTACTCACAGTGTAGTGGCGTCCTGATAGAGATTAAGTTCTTCTCCGAGTGATTCAGCGTACGTTGCCCAGCCCTGCGGTAGATAGTAAACGTCATCGCCAAACAATAATAAGCCTATAACAGAATCGATTTGGCGTAAAAGTCACGGTTATAAGAATGGATCACTGACAATTAGGTGTCATCGACAAGGATAAGCATGTCCTGTGCCAGCGGGAACACCTCATAGTTTCAGTAGACTAACCTTGTAATATACTGAGTCAAAAAAGAAACTTCACATTCTTTCTTCAGGGCACTATAAAAGAACAAGATATGGTAAGATGGTTAAATTGTTATTATTTCATTGCTGAGATCTGTGTGATGTACTCGATACACTGACAGTGCCATAATCAGTTCCATTAGGCTACACCGCCATTCCAAAACATGGGTATACAGAATGTCAAGTCACAAGAATAAAAATGCGAAATTTCTCAGTTCAATATCGTGTATGGCCGCCCCGCGCATTCACCACTGCCAAACACCGTCTCCTCATCGACTGCCTGATGCTTGTGAACACGTGGTTGGGGATTCTGCGCCATTGGTCTTGCAAGGCAGCGCCAAGTTCCTGCAAATTCTGAGGTTGGTTCCTAAGACCACGAAGCTTTCTCCCAAGTGCATCCCAAACGTGCTCTATTGGATTAAGGTTAGGGGACCTCGATGGCCAGTCCATGACGTTGATTCCAGCGTTTTGAAGGAAATTTCGTGTCAACATCGCGGTATGCGGCCGAGCATTATCATGCTGGAACTGTAGACCCGGGCCATGAGCCGCCATGAAAGGAACGAGTTCAGGGGTGAGCACCTGGTCGCGGTAAGCAGCAGCTGTGAGGTTTCCACGGATGACAAGAAGTCGGGAACGGTTGTTCCCACAGAAAGCACCCCACACCATGCAACTTCCGCCCCCGAATCTGTCGACTTCCTGTACACAACATTGGGCATACCGTTCACGACGTCGTCTCCAGACTCTATGCCTGCCGTCCGCGAATCTGAGGATAAACTTGGATTCATCGCTAAAGACGACTCGATTCCAGTCTCTCTGGGTCACTCGGAGGTGACGTTGGGCCCACAGCAGACGTTGATGATACGGCGTCAATATTGGCCCACGATATGGACGTCTAGAATGGAGATTGGCAGCCCGCAACCGATTTCGAATGGTCTGTGAGAACAGTCGACCTCTAAACATCTCAGCCTTGGTTCGTGTAGCCGGCAGAAATCTGTCACGTTGGTGACGTAGGACGATTTGACCTTGGGCGATCAGAAGTGGTGCCAGTTTGTTGTAGACGACCTCGCAAGTCATACACAGTACGACGGCTGCATCCCATTGCTCTTGCGACGTCCATTACTGATCTTCCCGCTTGCAACATGCCAACGGCACGTTCACGTTGCACATTTGACAATCGTGGCATTTGAAGTACCGTTAGAACTGTGGTTTCAAAGTGTTTTTTCAATTCTTGAGGCCAATGCAAACACGTGCATATGAAGAAAACTTCGATGCGAAGATCACGTGATCGACTGCACGTGCAAAACCTGATTTGGCACTAACGTCATTTGCACCACGAATGGATGGGTTTGAGTGGGTTTTGCTCACGTTTTTCTAGAGTCGACAGATAGGGATCCCCATTTCGGATACATAGATGTATCATCAGAGAAAAATTATTCATTATTTTTCAAATTACATTTTGTGAAGTTTCTTTTTTGACTCAGTATACTTTCCTCTATATACTTAGTAATACTATCTGAGTAACAATCGACAACATAGTACATCATACAGCACTGACCTGTATTGTTTACCCTGTGTATAACAGGCGCCTACACCATACAAGACTCACCTCTGTATAGTTTACCCTGTGTAATACAATCGCCTTAAACTATACAGTACTGACCTCTGTATAGTTTACCCTGTGTATAGCAATCATTTACACCATAAAAGACTCACCTCTGTATAGTTTACCCTGTGAATAACAAAGTCCTAAACAATACAGTACTGACCTCTGTATAGTTTACCCTGTGTATAAAAATCGCCTAAACAATACAGCACTGTCCTCTGTATAGTTTACCCTGTGTTTAACAAGTCCTAAACAATACAGTACTTACCTCTGTATAGTATACCCCGTGTATAAAAATGGCCTAAACAATACAGCACTGACCTCTGTATAGTGTACCCTGTGTTTAACAAAGTCCTAAACAATACAGCACTGACCTGTGTATAGTTTACCCTGTGTATAACAGTCGCTTCACCTTTTCGGTACTGACCTTCACAGATTGTTAAAATCCCATTTGGCTGACGACAATCTAGCCCAGTGAGGGTAGTGGTTGAGCAACAACTGGGAACATTCAGATGTAGACTACTCTATACGTCAGTTTCATTTAAGGGTAAACATATGTGTAGAGCATGGGTATTGTTGTTTTACAGGCACAATGGCACGTGAAGGCAACGTTTCCTACCTCAATATAGGCTGTGTAGTAGGGGAAGTGGAACTTGTGCTGGATACTTGGCGGGATCGCTTTCAGCTCGTAGCTGGTCTGTAATCACAGAAATTGTGTTCAGGCATCACAGGGTGTACGTCAATACCTACCACTTGGTATTTTTGAAGTGGAGGTTAAAGCTGGCGAAAACTGCAGGCGAAGGAGAAACCGATCATGACCATTGGTTCGAGTCTCAGTGTCAGCCTGCTTTTGATTTCATTTTAATGTCCAACACAGATCATGGAGGAACTCTTGATGTGCTCTTACGTTTAGCTGAGACGCCGTTTCATGACGGTAACATGCAATATGCTTAATACACACTTCAGTAATTCCATCCAGTAATTCACGAGAGTATGAGCTAAACTAATTTTGACCGCGTGTGTGTGGTTTCCTTTCAGCATCTGAGTAATGACGGACACTGATGACGTTTGTCGTCTGTGTGACGTACATTACCTGGAGGTGGTGGCCGGGTATTGATTCATGCAGCGTGATGGGCACCATGACGTATGTCCCCCTGTGTGAACACAGAACAAGCGGTTAGAAGGATGCAGTATACCCATGTGTCAACACAGAACACATGATTAGAACATGCAGTATACCCCTGTGTCAACACAGAACACATGATTAGAACATGCAGTATACTCCTGTGTCAACACAGAACACATGGTTAGAACATGCAGTATACTCCTGTGTCAACACAGAATTTATGGTTAGAACAGGCAGTATACCCCTGTGTCAACACAGAACACATGGTTAGAACATGCAGTATACCCCTGTGTCAACACAGAACACACGATTAGAACATGATGTATACGCCTGTGTCAACACAGAATTCATGGTTAGAACAGGCAGTATACGCCTGTGTCAACACAGAATTCATGGTTAGAACATGCAGTATACTCCTGTGTCAACACAGAATTTATGGTTAGAACAGGCAGTATATGCCTGTGTCAACACAGAACACATGGTTAGAACATGCAGTATACGCCTGTGTCAACACAGAATTTATGGTTAGAACAGGCAGTATACTCCTGTGTCAACACAGAACACATGGTTAGAACATGCAGTATACCCCTGTGTCAACACAGAATTTATGGTTAGAACAGGTAGTATACGCCTGTGTCAACACAGAATTCATGGTTAGAACATGCAGTATACTCCTGTGTCAACACAGAATTTATGGTTAGAACAGGCAGTATACGCCTGTGTCAACACAGAACACATGGTTAGAACATGCAGTATACTCCTGTGTCAACACAGAACACATGGTTAGAACATGCAGTATACCTCTGTGTCAACACAGAATTTATGGTTAGAACAGGCAGTATACGCCTGTGTCAACACAGAATTTATGCATAGAACAGGCAATATAAGCCTGTGTAAACACAGAATTTATGGTTAGAACAGGCAGTATACGCCAGTGTCAACACAGAATTTATTATTAGAACATGCAGTATACTCCTGTGTCAACACAGAATTTATGGTTAGAACATGCAGTATACGCCTGTGTCAACACAGAATTTATGGTTAGAACATGCTGTATACGCCTATGTCAACACAGAATTTATGGTTAGAACATGCAGTATACCCTGTGTCAACACAGAATTCATGGTTAGAACATGCAGTATACGCCTGTGTCAACACAGAATATATAGTCAGAACATGCATTATACTCCTGTGTCAACACAGAATTCATGGTTAGAACATGCAGTATACGCCTGTGTCAACACAGAATTTATGGTTAGAACATGCAGTATACTCCTGTGTCAACACAGAATTCATGGTTAGAACATGCTGTATACGCCTATGTCAACACAGAATTTATGGTTAAAATGCAGTTTACGCCTGTGTCAACACAGAATTCATGGTTAGAACATGCAGTATACTCCTGTGTCAACACAGAATTTATGGTTAGAACAGGCAGTATATGCCTGTGTCAACACAGAACACATGGTTAGAACATGCAGTATACGCCTGTGTCAACACAGAATTTATGGTTAGAACAGGCAGTATACTCCTGTGTCAACACAGAACACATGGTTAGAACATGCAGTATACCCCTGTGTCAACACAGAATTTATGGTTAGAACAGGTAGTATACGCCTGTGTCAACACAGAATTCATGGTTAGAACATGCAGTATACTCCTGTGTCAACACAGAATTTATGGTTAGAACAGGCAGTATACGCCTGTGTCAACACAGAACACATGGTTAGAACATGCAGTATACTCCTGTGTCAACACAGAACACATGGTTAGAACATGCAGTATACCTCTGTGTCAACACAGAATTTATGGTTAGAACAGGCAGTATACGCCTGTGTCAACACAGAATTTATGCATAGAACAGGCAATATAAGCCTGTGTAAACACAGAATTTATGGTTAGAACAGGCAGTATACGCCTGTGTCAACACAGAATTTATTATTAGAACATGCAGTATACTCCTGTGTCAACACAGAATTTATGGTTAGAACATGCAGTATACGCCTGTGTCAACACAGAATTTATGGTTAGAACATGCTGTATACGCCTATGTCAACACAGAATTTATGGTTAGAACATGCAGTATACTCCTGTGTCAACACAGAATTCATGGTTAGAACATGCAGTATACGCCTGTGTCAACACAGAATATATAGTCAGAACATGCATTATACTCCTGTGTCAACACAGAATTCATGGTTAGAACATGCAGTATACGCCTGTGTCAACACAGAATTTATGGTTAGAACATGCAGTATACTCCTGTGTCAACACAGAATTCATGGTTAGAACATGCTGTATACGCCTATGTCAACACAGAATTTATGGTTAGAATGCAGTTTACGCCTGTGTCAACACAGAATTCATGGTTAGAACATGCAGTATCCGCCTGTGTCAACACAGAATTTATGGTAAGAACATGCAGTATACTCCAGTGTCAACACAGAATTCATGGTTAGAACATGCAGTATACTCCTGTGTCAATACAGAAATCATTGTTAGAACATGCAGTATACTCCAGTGTCAACACAGAACTCATGGTTAGAACATGCAGTATACGCCTGTGTCAACACAGAATTTATGGTTAGAACATGCATTATACTCCTGTGTCAACACAGAACACATGGTTAGAACATGCAGTATACGCCTGTGTCAACACAGAATTTATGCTTAGAACATGCAGTATACTCCTGTGTCAACACAGAACACATGGTTAGAACATGCAGTATACGCCTGTGTCAACATAGAATTCATGGTTAGAACATGCAGTATAATCCTGTGTCAACACAGAATTTATGCTTAGAACATGCTGTATACGCCTGTGTCAACACAGAATTCATGGTTAGAACAGGCAGTATACGCCTGTGTCAACACAGAACACATGGTTAGAACATGCAGTATACGCCTGTGTCAACACAGAATTTATGGTTAGAATGCAGTTTGCGCCTGTGTCAACACAGAATTCATGGTTAGAACATTCAGTATACTCCTGTGTCAACACAGAATATATAGTTAGAACATGCATTATACTCCTGTGTCAACACAGAATTCATGGTTAGAACATGCTGTATACGCCTGTGTTAACACAGAATTTATGCTTAGAACATGCATTATACACCTGTGTCAACACAGAACACATGGTTAGAACATGCAGTATACGCCTGTGTCAACACTGAATTCATGGTTAGAACATGCAGTATAATCCTGTGTCAACACAGAATTCATTGTTAGAACATGATGTATACGCCTGTGTCAACACAGAATTCATGGTTAGAACATGCAGTACACTCCTTTGTCAACACAGAACCCATGGTTAGAACATGCAGTATACGCCTGTGTCAACACAGAATTCATGGTTAGAACATGCTGTATACGCCTGTGTCAACACAGAATCTATGGTTAGGATGCAGTATACTCCTGTGTCAACACAGAATTCATGGTTAGAACATGCAGTATACGCCTGTGTCAACACAGAATCTATGGTTAGATCATGCTGTATACGCCTGTGTCAACACAGAATTTATGGTTAGAACAGGCAGTATACTCCTGTGTCAACACAGAATTCATGGTTAGAACAGGCAGTATACGCCTGTGTCAAGACAGAATTTATGGTTAGAACATGCAGTATACGCCTGTGTCAACACAAATTTATGGTTAGAACATGCTGTATACTCCTGTGTCAACACAGAATTCATGGTTAGAACAGGCAGTATACGCCTGTGTCAACACAGAACTCATGGTTAGAGCATGCAGTATACCCCTGTGTCAACACAGAATTCGTGGTTAAACATACAGAATACTCCTGTGTCAACACAGAATTCATGGTTAGAACAGGCAGTATACGCCTGTGTCAAGACAGAATTTATGGTTAGAACATGCAGTATACGCCTGTGTCAACACAAATTTATGGTTAGAACATGCTGTATACTCCTGTGTCAACACAGAATTCATGGTTAGAACAGGCAGTATACGCCTGTGTCAACACAGAACTCATGGTTAGAGCATGCAGTATACGCCTGTGTCAACACAGAATTCATGGTTAGAACAGGCAGTATACGCCTGTGTCAACACAGAACTCATGGTTAGAGCATGCAGTATACGCCTGTGTCAACACAGAATTCGTGGTTAAACATGCAGAATACTCCTGTGTCAACACAGAATTCATTGTTAGAACATGCTGTATACGCCTGTGTCAGCACAGATTTCATGGTTAGAACAGATTTCATGTGTCAACAAAACATGGTTAAAACATGCAGTACACTCCTTTGTCAACACAGAACACATGGTTAGAACATGCAGTATACGCCTGTGTCAACACAGAATTCATGCTTAGAACTTGCTGTATACTCCTGTGTCGACACAGAATTGATGGTTAGGATGCAGTATACTCCTGTGTCAACACAGAATTCATGGTTAGAACAGGCAGTATACTCCTGTGTCAACACAGAACACATGGTTAGAACATGCAGTATACTCCTCTGACAACACAGAATTTATGGTTAGAACATGCAGTATACACGTGTCAACACAGAATTTATGGTTAGAACATGCTCTATACTCCTGTGTCAACACAGAACACATGGTTAGAACATGCAGCATACGCCTGTGTCAACACAGAATTGGTGGTTAGGATGCAGTATACGCCTGTGTCAACACAGAATTCATGGTTAGAACATGCAGTATACTCCTGTGTCAACACAGAAGACATGATTAGAACATGCTGTATACGCCTGTGTCAATACAGAATTTATGGTTAGAACATGCAGTATACGCCTGTGTCAACACAGAACACATGGTCAGAACATGCAGTATACGCCTGTGTCAACACAGAACACATGGTTAGAACATGCAATATACTCCTGTGTCAACACAGAACATGGTTAAAAGATGCAGTATACGCCTGAGTCAACAGAGAACACGCAGTTAGAAGGATGCATTATACTCCTGTGTCAACACAGAACTGATCGCTATCATACACAAATCCAGTGAATTTAAGTAGCGTTGGTCAAGGAGTGTCCTTGGATGGGTGATCGCGTTTTGCACCTTTAATCCTGAGAGTTTCTAGGACTTCTGTCCTGCCCCACAACCAAACATACATGTGACCTCACCTTCAGCAAGTACGTTTGTTCACAATTGCCCCTGTTCACCCATCAGAAAATGGGTACCCGATGGGATGAGTCTTATGACTATTAACCGTCTCGTGTCTCACAAGCAGCTTGGGTTATCCGGGGTAATAATACCCATATGTTGTATGCACTTAGAGCAAGCCCGAGCATAGTGGAAGTCAGCGCAGTGTAAATGGCCATATTATTTATCTTTATTACATAGATATGTGTGTCTGTGTTTGTGTGTACGCGCGTATGTACACTTGTGTGAAAGTATGGATGCACCGTTATGGCTATGTACCCTATGTGAAAGTCTGTACATATGAGTGACTTGTATACTTTCATCTTAATGCTTGCAACAGTATTCGGTAATTTAAATGTATTATTTAATGTAATGTAATCTGCTCCTATGTAAATGTCCTGGGAGGGAGACATTTGTCTAGGCTTCGTCTGTTAATACAACACGCAGTATGACATATGATATCTATTCCTATGTTAACATACAACAAACAGTATGACAGATTATATCTATTCCTATGTTCACATACAACATATAGTAGGACAGATGATATCTATTCATATGTTAACATACAACAAACAGTATGACAGATTATATCTATTCCTATGTTCACATACAACATATAGTAGGACAGATGATATCTATTCCTATTTCAACATGAAACAAACAGTATGACAGATGATATATATTCCTATGTTAACATACAGTAAACAGTATGACAGATTATATATATCTATTCCTATTTTAACATACAACAAACAGTATGACAGATGATATATATTCCGATGTTGACATACAACATACAGTATGACAGATGATATCTATTCCTATGTTAACATACAACACACAGTATGACAGATGATAAATATATTCCTATGTAAACATACAACACACAGTATGACAGATGATATATATTCCTATGTTGACATACAACATACAGTATGACAGATGATATATACATCCCTATGTTAACATACAACATACAGTATTACAGATGATATCTATTCCTATGTTAACATACGGCAAACATTATGACAGATGATATATATATCTATTCCTATTTTAACATACAACAAACAATATGACAGATGATATATATTCCTATGTTGACATAGAACATACAGTATGACAGATATGTATATTCCTATGTTAACATACAACCCACAGTATGACAGATGATATATATATATATATATTCCTATGTTAAGACAGCCTCGACATATGACATACCTTGATGATTCTATTCCTACATACAGAACGGACGGTTGGACCCATGCCGCAGGCCTCCCAGACCTGCAGGTCGTAATAGTATTCATGTGTCCACGTTTCATGATTCATTCAAACGATACTTATAAAGGAATCTAAAAACGTGCTTCATGTACACTTACCATGATTCTGATGTAAACATTGGACAGGGAATGTCTGTAAAGTCACCAGAATTAGCCAGCCATACACACCTTTCTTCAGATCGATGTAGATTGATGAAGAATGTACCGGGCCGTGAGCCATCAGCGGACATGGGTGCATACATCGCCAATGGACCATCGTTCTCCATAGCCTTCACCCTAAAGCACATTCACAAACAAGTGCAGCAAACATCAAGTCCTACCCGTGGCAATTCCAGCTTTTTGTGCGTTAGATCTAGTCCATGGATCATGTAGACTGCTTTGGCAAAATATTTTTGAAATGTGGTATCAATTATACTATACTAATCTAAAGATGCAACGAAGTGTTACAACTTACTTCAAAGGTAGATCGGGGAGATTCTTGAACATCTCAGGCAGTCGGGGCTTCACAGTCTCATTCACAATTTTCTGGTAAGTTTCCAGCAGTTCGTCCTGTGGGAAACATAAGCACAAGGTTGACAGATTGATAAGCCTCATAAATCCAACCATAACCTTGTGGTGAGTGACGTACAATATGTATGGTATAGTGGGCTATCTAGGACAAAACTTACCTCTGTTTGCAGATGCAAAGACGTCTTGTTCCTAAACATTGCAAAGAATTCACCAGCCGATCCACTGAAATTCTGTCCTTCCATAACCTGGAGAGGAAATCGTTCTGTAAACGCAGAATATACGCTATTTAGTTGAGCAAGGGAGATGGATGTAAAAACCACTTCCTTGCTAAAACATATGAGACGTCTCGGTGTAGATGTGAACAGTGTTATCAGTGCGAGACCAGATGTACCTTAACGACCTTGCTACATGAAACCAATAGTCCCCATATTTCTACATCAGCAGCACCCTCCTCCAACCCAGTAGCAACACCTCCCATTCTGTATCAGCACCACACTCCCCTATCCTAGTTGTCACACCTCCCCTTCTGTATCAGCACCACACTCCACCAACCCGTTGTCACCCCTCCCCTTCTGTATCAGCACCACCCTCCACAGACCCAGTTGTCACCCCTCCCCTTCTGTATCAGCACCACCCTCCACCAACCCAGTTGTCACCCCTCCCCTTCTGTATCAGCACCACACTCCACCAACCCAGTTCTCACCCCTCCCCTTCTGTATCAGCACCACACTACACCAACCCAGTTCTCACCCCTCCCCTTCTGTATCAGCACCACACTACACCAACCCAGTTCTCACCCCTCCCCTTCTGTATCAGCACCACACTCTACCAACCCAGTTCTCACCCCTTCCCTTCTGTATCAGCACCACCCTCCACCAACCCAGTTCTCACCCCTCCCCTTCTGTATCAGCACCACCCTCCACCAACCCGTTGTCACCCCTAACCTTCTGTATCAGCACCACACTCCCTCAACCCAGTTCTCACCCCTCCCTTCTCAGCACACACTCCACCAACCCAGTTCTCACCCCTCCCCTTCTGTATCAGCACCACCACCCACCAACCCAGTTGTCACCCTCCCCTTCTGTATCAGCACCACCCTCCACCAACCCAGTTGTCACCCCTCCCCTTCTGTATCAGCACCACACTCTACAGACCCAGTTCTCACCCCTCCCCTTCTGTATCAGCACCACCCTCCACCAACCCAGTTCTCACCCCTCCCCTTCTGTATCAGCACCACACTACACCAACCCAGTTGTCAGCCCTCCCTTCTGTATCAGCACCACACTACACCAACCCAGTTCTCACCCTCCCCTTCTGTATCAGCACCACCACACTACACCAACCCAGTTCTCACCCATCCCCTTCTGTATCAGCACCACACTCTGCCAACCCAGTTCTCACCCCTCCCCTTCTGTATCAGCACCACCCTCCACCAACCCAGTTCTCACCCCTCCCCTTCTGTATCAGCACCACCCTCCACCAACCCGTTGTCGCCCCTAACCTTCTGTATCAGCACCACACTCCCTCAACCCAGTTCTCACACCTCCCCTTCTGTATCAGCACCACCACCCACCAACCCAGTTCTCACCCCTCCCCTTCTGTATCAGCACCACCCTCCTCCAACCCAGTTCTCACCCCTCCCCTTCTGTATCAGCACCACCCTCCTCCAACCCAGTTGTCACCCCTCCCCTTCTGTATCAGCACCACCCTCCACCAACCCAGTTCTCACCCCTCCCCTTCTGTATCAGCACCACCACCCACCAACCCAGTTGTCACCCCTCCCCTTCTGTATCAGCACCACCCTCCACCAACCCAGTTCTCACCCCTCCCCTTCTGTATCAGCACCACCCTCCACAACCCAGTTCTCACCCCTCCCCTTCTGTATCAGCACCACACTCCACCAACCCAGTTCTCACCCCTTCCCCTTCTGTATCAGCACCACCCTCCACCAACCCAGTTGTCACCCCTCCCCTTCTGTATCAGCACCACCCTCCACCAACCCAGTTCTCACCCCTCCCCTTCTGTATCAGCACCATACTCCCTCAACCCAGTTGTCACCCCTCCAATTCTGTATCAGCACCACACTCCACCAACCCAGTTCTCACCCCTCCCTTCTGTATCAGCACCCCCACCAACCCAGTTCTCACCCCTCCCCTTCTGTATCAACACCACACTCCACCAACCCAGTTCTCACCCCTCCCTTCTGTATCAGCACCACCCTCTACCAACCCAGTTCTCACCCCTCCCCTTCTGTATCAGCACCACCCTCCACAGCCCAGTTCTCACCCCTCCCCTTCTGTATCAGCACCACCCTCCACCAACCGAGTTCTCACCCCTCCCCTTCTGTATCAGCACCACACTCCCTCAACCCAGTTGTCACCCCTCCCCTTCTGTATCAGCACCACACTCCACCAACCCAGTTCTCACCCTCCCTTCTGTATCAGCACCACCCTCCCCAACCCAGCTCTCACCCCTCCCTTCTGTTTCAGCACCACCCTCCACAACCCAGTTCTCACCCCTCCCCTTCTGTATCAGCACCACGCTCCACCAACCCAGTTCTCACCACTCCCCTTCTGTATCAGCACCACCCTCCACCAACCCAGTTCTCACCCCTCCCCTTCTGTATCAGCACCTCCCTCCACCAACCCAGTTCTCACCCCTCCCCTTCTGTATCAGCACCACCCTCCCCCAACCCAGTTGTCACACCTCACCTTCTGTATCCGCTCCAGACTATGTTGTTTTGTCGTCTTATCACCTCGTTATGTCTCACCTTGTCAATCAGCCCTTTGATCCGCTCAATCTCCTGCAGCCCTATCTGGTGAACCCTCTCTGGGCTCATGTCTATGGACAGATGCCATTCGAGACACGCTTTGTAATAGTCCAGTTCGAAGAGAAAAGATCCCGCACCCGATTTTGGCCTAGTGTTTGGGATATGTTCCTGCAGGAAGAGATATCAAGCTTATTACAACTACGATGTCGTTACAAAGAGTTTTGGAAATAACATTATTTTATGATACATGTTGTAGTGAAATCAAAGAAGTTGTTAGTTGAAACACAGAAAAACGTGCTAAACTGCAAATTTACTTTTTCAAGGAATGTCTTCCAAAGGTAGAGTGTATTAAGTACACCTAGGATTGCCACGTGCGCTCTCCCTCTCAAATCCCTTCTGCGAAAATGAAGAAAGTTCGTTTTATCATCATCATCATCATCATCATCATCATCATTTGCTAGAAAAAAACTACTAGTAGGATGAAAGGCAAGTTGTTCATTGTTTGGTAAGGTATAATTGCTGTAATTGAGTGCATCACCAAAAGACTGGGGACTGAATAGATCCGTACTATTCAGCGTTTTTTCGTGAAATGACTATAAATGATGACTTGATCGTCACAGAATGTCATACTGTATACCATGGAAAACGACTTCGATTTCAGGCACCTGATAAATAACCCCGGCCTTGGCCGCCTTGGTTGAGCTGCAGTAGTACTGTCAAGCGGGACATAACAATCAGTCCGTCAATACAGCGTTTCACAAATCATCAGATCCCTGACTGTAATATATTTCGCATTGAAAAATAAATCTTGGATGACGAATACGTGACTTACTTGACTTGAATATCCATTGGCAATTGTTGAAGATGGGCTGCGAATGGTTGATATAAGGCCGAATGTTCTGGGTCCAGGTCCAACCGCTCTGTCGGCACACGATCCTACAGGCAAACCAACAGCTTATCATTATATTGCTTCTCCAATAACAAGTATAGTTGTACATATTTTCTATAAATGCCGTGAGACGTGTACTTTACATCACAAATTATTTTATTTGAAATGGTAAGTAATTGTACTTGCCACTGACGAGTTTGATGACGTCCCGTCCATTGCTATTGCTGATCTGCACAGCTCTATGTACTGGTTGACCTGTCAAACACGACAAACAATCTTTAGTTCATCTCTATTGTAAACATAATGAACAATTATCCGAACTGTTCAAAATTAATACATGCATGTTTAAGTGAGACGAAGACTCCCGTGGTGGTCGACAACGGCCAGAGCTGTAAGACATTCATTGTTTGGAAAATCGTGTTTTAAATCGCATTATAAAGAATCTAAAATAACAAGAAATGTTATCACTGAAAGCATTGACGAAAAAGTAAACAATTATTCCCCTTACGAATGTTACCATGACAACAGACCTGGAATGGAGTATTCTGAAGACGGACGATGAAGTTATCATAGTCGGCACGTGTAAGGAAGGGTTCATCCTGCATCACCTGGTCCGGATCAAGCTGTATACCCTCCAGGAAGTCGAGAGGATTGAGTAACCCGAATCTGTAGAATGAGCGTTTTATATCGAACTAACGGTCCTTGTATACTGATTTTACTCCACAGCAGCACTATATCCTCTGTCATAGTCACCGAGTGCAACAACATTAGAATATACTACCCTTAAAAAAACATTGCAACACCTATACCTTTAACCCCCATATAGCCATGTTTATTCATATCATAATTATGTTTGCTTGTAACTCAGCGTGTGCACCATACACTGATTTTAGATATGCACGTGTCGTGCTACGATCAAAGGAAACATCAAGTCTGTGATCACAGCTCGATAACTTGGAAAATCAATTGATTTCGTTGTTGATAAGCAAATCAATCAACTGAAAATTGCTCAAATACGGCATTTATTGGTATGCGGAATGCTGTCATTGAGGGCAGGAGATGTTGGCCAGATAACAGTAGCAGACTAACAGAGACTCCTGGGAAGGATACAGCGCTTCACACAATCACAAGACTTTATCCGTTCAAGTGAAGTGGCGTGTTAACACCGGTCCGAAATGCATGATCGAATGCCTTTGGATACACAGATCTATACGGGTTACTGTTTTGTGCATGGCGGAATGATAGAGCGTCGTTGGACACACTTTACGATTGGTTTGGTGACGGAGTGCCCAGTTATATACATATACATGATTTGATTTATGTCCTACCACCGCCGTGATGTTGCTGTAATATTGCTAAAAGCGGCGTAAAGCTAAACTCACCCCCTGTCCTACCAACCTGCTCCACTTGAAGCCTTTAATATACGTGGTCAGCACCTGATTGAGGATCCGATAACTAATCAAATCAGAGGCAGACAGTTCGGTTTGGTCAATCTGCTCAAGGTTTTCTAGGAAGTGCTCCGCTGTATTCTGGAACAATTGATATTACAACCTCAACAACAAACATTGTTAATTATTTACGATATGGAAAAGATAAGGGGTTAGAATAACGTGGATTGCCGACCTCAGATTAAGCATGGATAAAGCGGTAGCAAGCACAACCTCCTGTCAGCATGACTTACACGTCTCTCTATCATCCGTGATGTACTGAGGTCCCAGAGGCTGTCACCGTGGTTGGCAAACTGCGGGGTGTCCTCCAACCGCCATGCGTGGAAGTCCTTGAAAAGGGTGCTGAGTGTTGTACCGGCATCGCCTGAACACACACAAAGTACCGAACAGTACTGGGCCTACTTTCACAAAGCAGTAAGGTGATCGTAAGTCGCTAATGTAACCTTAGTGCAATTTTAAAGAATGGGAGTTAATAAAGGCTGCTTCGTGAAAGGAGCCCCTGAAAACCTACAGCTAAGTATGTGCTGGGTTTGCAGTCCCGTGTAGATGAATAGTGGATCTACATGGCAAATATATTCATATTAACAGTTTGAACTGCAGACGTTTACATTATACAGCCACAACGCCACCATTTATTACATTCTCAATACCTTCATACTCCTACGCTACAACACAGGGACACCACTTTACCACGGAACTGTCACACCTCCACACTAACACACTACTACACAGTGACACCACTATAAACTGTCACACTCCAACACTACTACACTACAACACAGTGACACCACTATATTCTGTCACACTAAATCACTACTCTGCAACACAGTGACGCCACTATATACTGTCACACTCCAACACTACTACACTAATACACAGTGACACCACTATATACTGTCACACTCAAACACTACTACACTACTACACAGTGACACCACTATATACTGTCACACTACAAAACTTCTACACTACTCCACAGTGACACCACTATATACTGTCACACTCCAACACTACAACACTACTCCATAGTGACACCACTATATACTGTCACTCTCCAACACTACAACACTACTACACAGTGACGCCACTATATACTGTCACACTCCAACACTACAACACAGTGACACCACTATATACTGTCACACTACAACACTACAACACAGTGACACCACTATGCAATGTCACACTACAACACTAAACACAGTGACACCACTATATACTGTCACACTCCAACACTCCTACACTACAACAAGGTGACACCACTATATACTGTCACACTCCAACACTACTACACTATAACACAGTGACACCACTATATACTGTCACGCATCCACACTACTACACTACTACACAGTGACACCACTATATTCTGTCACACTAAAACACTACTACTCTACAACACAGTGACACCACTATATACTGTCACACTCCAACATTACTACACTACTTCACAGTGACACCACTATATACTGTCACGCTCCAACACTACTACACAGTGACACCACTATATACTGTCACACTCCAACACTACAACACTACTCCACAGTGACACCACTATATACTCTCACACTACAACACAGTGACAACATTATATACTGTCACTCTCCAACACAACTACACTACTACACAGTGACACCACTATATACTGTCACACCTCCACACTAACATACTACTACACAGTAACAACACTGTATACTGTCACACTCCAACATTACTACACTACTTCACAGTGACACCACTATATACTGTCACACTCCAACACTACTACACTACTACACAGTGACACCACTATATACTGTCACACTCCAACCCTCGAAGAAAGAAACAGGGAAATTGCATATCTGAAAATCCAAGTTCACTAAAATCAATCTCGGGAAGCTAGTCTGAAGCATGATATATCTATGCTAAGAGATGATTTGAAGTGTAAAAGCAATGAAGTTCAAACTCTACATGACATTGTAGACTCTAAAATAATGGCTATTGAACAAGAGAACGTGTGCTATTGATGGGAAGCTTGACTGTATAAACACAAGAAACAAGCTTTTGTACTCTGAAGCGGTGAAAAGTCCATGCTACGAAGACATGAACAGAACACCGAGAAACAGAATTACAACCCAAGCGACGGTTCATTGTGAATCAATCAGAATTCCAGATAGCCAACCAAGTGACGGCGAGAACTCGTTAATTAGCCCGCAACAACCCAAACAGGAGATGTCACCTGACCAGAAAAACAATAACGTGAATAATGACGTAACACGTGAAATCTCAAGTGAAGATAAACATACAAGGACGGTTAAATTTAAAGAACAGTGGTGAAAGGCTTTCTCGGGAGCCTCACACTTCCGACACAAAAGGCTCGTGCTATCTTACGTAAAGGCGGAACAGCCTTTTGACATTGTGAAAGATGCAATCAAGGACTATTCATCTGAAAGGGGAGTAACAATTAGCTACATGAAACTTCTAAAGCATTGGGAAGGACGAAACCCAACTTACACTACCCGACTGAATGTCCCAACGCAATGAGCTAAGGTAGTACTATCGGATGAAAAGTTCTGGCCTGCTGGGTGCCAAACCGTGCATGGTACTCGAACGATAGATTAGGAGCTGAAAACGAAAACTCACGATAATGTCAAACATGTCGTATACTACCCTCTTACTTATCATGCTTCGGATTGCAGCCTGGAACATCAGAGGTATTATGTACGGAACCCGTGAACTATGTACAAGGCTGGATAGCACAGACATCTTCTTCGTCACCGAGCATTGGCTCAATGAACACAATTCATCATTCGTGAACGGTATTCATGACGATTTCGATGTCTACTGTTAGTGTAGCTGTGACGCAACAACCCACCACAGAGGCTCAGGCGGCATATGTGTTTTTGTGCGTAAAGGTGACTGGTGCAGAGTGTCAATACTAGATGCGTCCGAGAGTGATCAGGTGCTAGGTATAAGTCTAGAACATGGCAGTAGTATTACCTACGTTATTGGCACAAGATTACCTTCCACAAATGTCCTGGATAGTGTTTATATCGACCAACTCCAGTATGTGATGAACCTATATGATATATATTCACAGTATTGTCAAACCATACTCACTGGAGACTTTAATACAGACATTAGGCACTTTGTTGCCAAGAGGACTCGATCTCACTGTCTCCAGAGAGTACTTGACGAACGCGACCTGTATTCAGTCGTGCCCTTAGACGATAAATGTAAATATACGTTCTCAACCAAAAGTGCAAGTACGAGAACAATGATAGACTATGTATTTATAAACAATGACTATATCCACAACGTTATAGGCTACACCATTGATACCAACATATCATACAATGTGTCTGATCACTTACCCATTCATGTATGTGTTAAAATTGATTATCCATGCGTGTCTTATGGTGGGTCTAGGCTCAGCTGGAGAAAGGCATCTGATGTCGACCGTATGATCTATCGTTACGAAACTGAAAACTACTTTCGTTACGATATAGACGACCTTCCTCACTCCTCGTCCCATGCCGAGTATATTGAAATGTACAATCAGCACATAACTGATATTCTACATGCATGTGCGTCTATAAGTATCCCGTCATCAAGGTTTCAACCATTTCTGAAACCATATTGGAAAGCAGAAAATCTAAATAAACTGCATGATGATATGCGCAATAGAAGGAAATTCTGGGTCGAGAATGGGAAAGTACATGACAGAAATAATGTGTACTACGCTAGATACAAAGAAGCTAAACGTATCTTTAGAAAAAGACACCGTCAATGTAAGCAAAGTCTCATAGATGATAGACTGAAAGAAATCCATCAAGCAGCGGAAATAGACGTACATGAATATTTTAAGCTTACAAAAAAATATAAACGAGCTACAGGTCTAGTAACCAGTATAGTATACAAAAATCATGCAGGCAATAATGCAGAGAATATCTGTAACACTTTTGGTCAGTACTTCAAGGATCTATCTGTACCAAACTTGGAAAGTAGCTTTGATAATCACTTGAAATCGAGCGGTCAATATCAAATATTGAATGTCTTGAGAAAAGTTAAAATATATGTGAAAGAGACATGTATTCACCGCTGAATGAACTGTTCAATCTCAGCGAGATTATAGCTGTCGTCCAAAGGCTAAAAAGTAACAAAGCCCCAGGGCCCGATGGACTCGCTAATGAACATGTCAAGTATGCAGGTAGATCCCTCATAAAGGATATCATGACATTGTTCAACAATATCATCATATACGAGTACATCCCACAAGCTTTTAATGTTGGCCATATTCTGCCCCTGCATAAAGGCCACGGTAAAAGTAAAACTGACCCCTCCAACTACAGGGGAATAACATTAACGTCGATTCTCAGCAAACTGTTTGAAAGATTGCTCCTTAACAGAATTGAAAAGTGGACAGCTGAGAATATAACGTTTCCCCACAACTTCCAGTTTGGCTTTAGAAAAGACTTTAGTGCTGAGACAGCAGCTCTCACTCTTGTAGAAAGTATTGCATACTATAACGAAAAGGATTCACCCGTCTACTGTGCTTTCCTTGATAACGAGAAAGCATTTGACCGTGTTTGGCTAGGCGGTCTATTCTACAAACTCTACAATCTTGGAATTACTAGGAAACTCTGGAGGATACTACGCCTATCCTATAGTTCAATGCATTCATGTGTAAGTTTTGCTGGTTTTAAGTCCGATCTATTTCACATTAGACAAGGCGTGGGCCAAGGTCGTGTTTTGTCTGCCTGGCTATTTTCTCTCTATATAAATGATCTACTACATGAACTAAATGATACTGGCTGCGGTCTGTGTCTGCCTTGGGGGAAATGCCCAGGAATATTGCTAGCTGATGACACTACGTTGCTCACCAATAATCCAACTGATCTCCAAAGACTGTTGAAGGTGACTGAACTATATGCAAATAAGTGGCAGCTAAAATACAATGTTGGTAAAAGCGCTGCCGTAACCTTTGGACGTAGCAATGCATCCGTACCTGCTAACCTGTATCTTGGAGAAATTAATCTCCCTATTAAATGGTCTGTAGTTTATGCTGGAGTCCATATCAGCACTACTAAGTGCTCTACGGAGAGAACAAAACTTGTCTGTGAAAGGCTAAGAAAATTGATTAATATGAACTACGACTCTGGCCTCTACTTTGGCGGTATGAATCTTTTAGTGGCTGTACGTGTATGGAATCGAGTGATTCTACCTTGTGGTTTGTATGGATGTACAGTTTGGGGCAAATTGTCTCCTAAAGAATATGAAATGCTAGAAATCATCCAGCGTTACTTCTGTAAGAAAGTCCAAGGCTTTAATAAGTACATGCCAAATGATATTGTAAGAGATACAGTCGGGATAACATCCCTACAA